TGGTGGGGCAGCGGGCACAGACCGTCAATGCTTGCGGAGCCTGGGTTCTAGTCCCCTGTGCTGCAAGTGCCCCCATCTCCCTGTCCCCCACCCCTCCCACCGCCACCTGGGCTGCAGTCCCAGCAAGAGACCAGAGCCCCCTGCCCCTCAGCCGGACGCTGGCTCGCCTCCCTGCCCCTTCTGAGGGAAGGGCAGGGTCTGCTCCAGCCAGAGGGCACCGACTGACCTTGTGTTGGCTCCCAGGGCTGTGAGGACGGCTGCACCCTGGTGCCGGCCAACTGCTTCACGTCCAAGATGGACCTGCAGCCCTTCCCGCTGGGAATCCGCATTGACTACGTTCTCTACAAGGTACGAGCAGCAGAGCGGGGCGGCCGCATGCTGTGTCTGGGGCCGTGCGGGGAGACGGGAGAAGGGCAAGAGGCCGGCTGGGAATGGTCCCTCTCACACGCCAGCGGGTTTCTCTGTTCTCCAGGCTGGTATTCTGGCTGCTTCAGCCCCAGCATGGCCAGAGCCCGTGTGGCTGGGGTACCTGAGAACCTGGCTGTTGGGCTGAAAACGCTGCTTCTCTTTCCCAGTCCCCTGCCCCAAGCTCCCTTCTGCATCCACCCTCCGTCCCAGACCGCACACTCCCTGCATAGAAGTGTGGCCAAAATCTTGGCAAGTGTGGGCCCCCCATTAAAAATTATTGCCCACCCCTGGCCTTGAGCCACGGCTCTGCCCTGCTCGGCCTGTCAGGCAGGCCCGTGCTCGGCTGCTTCAGGCCGCTGGGCAGCAGGGAGTTATTGCCAGTAAAACTTCCTAGCTTGAGAGTCTTCTGCGCCGCACACTCCCTGCATAGAAGTGTGGCCAAAATCTTGGCAAGTGTGGGCCCCCCATTAAAAATTATTGCCCACCCCTGGCCTTGAGCCACGGCTCTGCCCTGCTCGGCCTGTCAGGCAGGCCCGTGCTCGGCTGCTTCAGGCCGCTGGGCAGCAGGGAGTTATTGCCAGTAAAACTTCCTAGCTTGAGAGTCTTCTGCGTGGCTTGCGTAGGGCGCGTGGCCTCCCCGGTCCCGCAAAGGCCGGGG